AGGGAAAGATACATTGTTATGAATACCATATTAAGACGTTTCAGAATTTTCTCTGCCAGTTTTTGAAGACAATCACTTTATCTGAACTAGGATATTTTTGTTCATTAATATGTTCAAATATTTTGTTAATGCTATTTCTTTAATTGCTACTGATGCTATGATATCATCCATAGCACAAGTTAATCTGAGTATATTTTCACATTCTAAAACCTTCTACAAACTATTCACCCCCTTTTACAGTGTTTCTCCACTCTGCACAGAGATTCCTGGGCAGCAAAAGTTGAAGAATTAAACAACTGGAGTAAAAATAACTGAAACACCTGCCTCTCTCTTCCCCTTCCCCCATTCTAGTCCCATTGCCAAAAATGTAAGACTGCTAGACAATCTAGAGAAAAGTGTTATGACAACTGATGAAGTATAGTACCTTGTTTATCAAAACTTAATGACAAACAAGAACTAATCTCTATACCATAAGAAACGTCACTTAATCAGATGCTAATAATGACAGATAACTTCTTGTCAGTGTTGTTTTAGGATAACACCACAAATGCCTTATACATCTCCTATTCACCTAGCACATTAATTAGGTCTGATTCTAAGTCCTTTGAAGTCAATATAAATTCTACTATTGACTTAAAGGAATCCTTGCTGAATCCCAGTGTTAGAAAATAACTCCCCTTTAACTCATGGGTGTTATTCAAGGTGTGTTTTCTACGTGCACCCTGTCTTTGAAGAAGTGAAGTCTTACGATTGGCAGTACCTTTAAGTCATTTCCCTTTGCTACTTCAGCACAAATTTCAGGAGACTAAGTGCCTAGTGTTCACTCACACAAAACCAATGTTTCTGGAATACTTGAATTAGGCAGGCTGCTTCCAAAATTATTTTCTTTTACAAATCTTACGTCAGTAAGTTAAAAGAATGAAACTATGTTAGGAAAAAGATTGTGAAAGTTGATTCATAATCAGCTATGGAAGCATGAATTTATCCTACCACGTTGCTAGAGAAAGGCAGTGGTAAAAAATGTGTGCTTAATGGTTCAAATGGAAGGCAGCATTGTAAAGATATGCTAAGAAATACTAAGAAAATTGCCAGACATTTCATAAACTCTTCTGAAGAGTATATTCAACTCAACAAAATAAGCCCGTATTTGAAGTTACTGTACATCACAGCATAGAAAGTTTTAATTTTTACAGCAACCAGTGCTTTGTGCATTTCCACTACTAAGCTGCATGTAAGAGTTCAGAGTGTTTCCGTTCAGCCATACTCATTTAGTTTTGGACCTGTAAGATAGAGAATGGAGTACAGCAAATGCATGCTGCAACTGCAGTATATCAGGCTTAGGAGACTTAGAGGATGGGATGTGAAATATAGATAGACAGCTTATCTGAGAATTTTAGTTCCCAGAAGCTTCTCGTTTCCTTTGGGAGACTGTGCATATAACCTATCTGAAATGCCAAGGCAAGACAGTTCTCTAAAGAGGTTCTCCAAGATACTTGTGAACACTGATCTGGTATCTGTCCAGCAAATAGCAGTTGGTTACTCTGCTGATGTATGAAAGTAACTCTTAGAAATTATACCGGTGTTAAGCTCTGGGAGGGAGCACTGTAATAAACACATTATAACAATGATCCACCTTGGCTTTCAGAACACTTCTCCTGGACACATTCCACTTAGAAAGTCTTCATGCTCTTTATCCAAGACATGCTGCTGATCCTCCCTTGAGGAAAGCATAGTATCTGAAAAGACACAGCATGCCACCACATCTCTTTGATCAGGCAGCACAACCACACAGTGTTACTGTCAAGGTTGTACGTTCTCTCAAAAACAACACAACTAGAAGCCCCAAGGAGCTGCAGCTGCCACCATAAAGGCAGTAGTTGGAGCAAACAAACAAAAAAAAATCCCAAACTATGAGGCAGGTTTCTATGGCAAGAGATTCAAAAGAGCCAGAAGAAAAATGTTCAAGATAAAAAGAAATTTCCTTAGGGGGAAAAAAAAAAAAAGTAATAGTAGCATAGTTAAACTGAGGGAAAGGTGAGGCTGTGGCACAGCTCTTGAGAGGTGAGCAAAAGAAATTTCTTGGCTGCTGAGTGTTCTGAGAGAACTGAGGGACACAAATGCATGGCAAGCAGGAACAAAAAGGGAACAAGACCAGCCCTGCATGAGAAAATGTCATGTCCAGAGATGGATGAATATATCCTGTATTGATAATGTACACATTCAATATAAAAGTCTCTGCACCGACAGGAACATTTGACAGTTTGACTTTTTTTTTCCCCAATAACAAGAACCAAAATTTTAATGAATGGAGAATTCTGTCAAACTCCTTTCTTCATACAGACCAATGTACCACCACCTGACACTCATACCTCACTCATGGAAAGGACAGTAACCACTTAAATTTGGGTTAGGTTTACATCCTCATTGTTTTAATTTGGTTTATGCCGCCAATGCTTTTCACAGGGATAATCAAGTAGAGAGCAAACCGTGCTGACTAGCTTTACATACAGACCGTAAGTCATACATTCAGGAACCACAATCAAGGAACCACCAGATAAAAATTATCTGGTTGCCAGTTTGGACCATATGATCATTATTCTTCAGTAAATTACCTCAAATAAAGTGGGAGATGGGGTGGGGTCGGGTGGTGTGCATGTAGAATTTGGAAAGAGGTTCAGTAGAAGATCCAGAATGTATACTAATTACACTTGGACACTGTACTACAGGACTTCTGTTATATTTATGATTGTTATAATGAAAGGGAGCTGAGCAATCTATCCTGGGAACTGTTTACATTACTTGTTGACACTATTATTATATGAGATTCATTATTCTTTTGTGTCCTTACAATATTTTGTTCACTTTTCCAAAAATATCTTGAAAATGAAGAAGATAATGTAGACGTGACAACAGAAATTTGTGTTAAACAAAGTTCACATAATAAAGCCTATGCTTACCTTTAAGTTGTTACCCTTTATAAGGCTGATTTTTACATTTGGTTCAGGACATGGATTTCCCCACTGATCACACAGCTGAACAATAAGGGGCTTCTGCAATTCTCTGCCATTAATCACTGCAACAGGCTGGAAGAGATACAGATGCATTATACTATTCTGTTCTAAGTATATCAAACATCCCATATATGTATCTATCTATATCTATATCTATCTCAGACGTCAGGAATCCCCAGAGCAATAGTGTCTGCCTTTTCCATACTATTTGTCTCACATAACAGCTAGACCATGACAGAATCGTAAGATGCCAGGAAGGTATTTCTAGTGTTTTCCCATTTACATTCTCTTGTCATTATAAAATGAACTACTTGAATTGCATGTGTTACTTGTGTTGATGTGACTAAAAGGAAGGACATGCTTCTGAAGAGGCTTATTAGTTTCCTTGTTCTAGAAAGAGCAAATGGCCTAAAACTGTTATCTTCTGATATACCTTGACAGCTTTCTAGAGAGTAAAAATAGTTATGATACTCCCTGAACCTTTTGTTTCACTTTTTACTTCAGTAACTTTCCTTCTCCATTTTCCCAACATGCCAATCTTTACTCCTGTTCTCTGCTCAGAGATCCAATTTTCTTTTACCTGCTTCCACTCCCCTGTTTTGCTTTCTGCTGCAACTTCAGCACTATCACTTGGATAGACAAAGTAAACATTGAAAAATTAAAAAAAACCCCCAGCAAATAAATGGATGGTACCAAAAATCTCCATCTTTTTCATTTGATATAAGTACTGTACTCCCTTCCCCACTTGCGGACTGCAAACACTTGTAAACTTAAATAAATTTGGGACTGCCTTCCTACATCCTAAACATAAAACCCCCCCCAGTAACAGATAAAGGAGAGACGAGCTGCCAACTATTACTACCATTAAGCACAGTATCTTTGGCAAACAGCAGTGGAAGATGGGTGTTAGGATCCAGCCCACAGTAAAACTGCTGCACCAAAGAAAAATACATCAGAAATGCAAATGTGACAGAATAAACAGTCTAAGAAATACTAATGAATACAGTGTTGTAAACACACACGAGTTAGATTACTCCAAAATAAGTTTACTTTTAAAAAACTAACATAGTTAGCTATTGTATGAAAAATGCTTCACATCTACAGTCCCATTTAAAACATCTCTACATAATTAGACCAATTGCAAAATACTTACTTAATTTTATGTTATCCTGTACAGAATTAAAAAAAGTCTCTAGAGCTGTCATATTCCGTCAATTTTTAGAAGTATTAATACTAATAAATCAGGGTTTTCAGCTTTGCATCCTGTGCTCGAAAAAGCTCTGGAAATAAAAGACCTGCTGACTAGTGACCCCGTTGTTTTATTCCAAACAAAAAGTGTTCAACGTACCGTTTCTAACTCTGGCCAATCCACAAACTGCAATTTAGCAGGGGATCCTGCAGTTAAATTTACTCTGAGAAAGTCAGAAAATTCACGCCAAGCAAAGCACAATTCTTTGCTTCCAAGTAAACAAGGTTTAAACCGAATACCTTTTACTCTCATTGTCAGAGTACTTTCCTATTGAGAAACAAAAAGAAGATTTTATCATGAACAAATAAAGGGAAGTATAATTTATTCATTTTTTTCCATATGCTATTTTAATATTTATGCCTGCTTTTTACTGTGAGACAGTGGACTAAAAATTAAACTACAAGTTCTATTCCTTTTGTTAAATTTCAATGGACTTCTTGTGTAAGAAGCGGTCAATTTCAAACTCCAGCATTTCTCAGGAACCTGTTTTTCAATGTATAAGAGTTACGTACAACTTAGTTATATCCGACATACTTTAAAAGTTATAGAATGAATTTTACATTAAACTGTGGCAGACAGTATCAGTAGTCCATTCTATGAGGTTCTTTAAAAGATCATAAAATCAACTGTACCACCATAAACAGACACAGAAAAAGACTAAAAACAGGTTAGAAGAAGAGAGATAGAACAACGGACTAGAAACAAAGCACACATGACTCAAGCATGAAGTGAACTGGCCCCCATATTGTACAGCTGCAGCAGTGATAAAGTTTTTAACAGATGCTGCTGTATTCCTTAGAACAGGATCATATGATTTTAATGCTTTAAGTCTCTTATCTTCTCACAGCTTACCAACTAGTGTTTAATTTTACTACCTGTCCACAGTTTTGGTTCAATTCTGTGTGACAGAATTAAGACAATTACCACACAAAGGCTACAGAGAAATAAACCGTATGACATCTTATAAATACCTGCCAAGTTATTTTCAAATTTGATTTATCAAGTCCAGGCCCAGAAACTCCTAGGGAATTAACACACGCAGATGTCACTGTCTGAACCTGATTTCCATACTGATCTGTAATCATTACATCTGTTAAAAAAGATGATGATGATTAAAATGATTATTAAAGTGATTACCTCAGCAGCTGCTTTAATGAAACATTATACAACATACGGAATATAAATGTATACAACATACACACAATATAGAGAAAATTACATCAGTATCACTGAATCACAGAGTGGCTGAGGTTGAAAGGCACCTGGAGGTCATCTGGTCCAATGCCCCTGGCTCAAGCAGGGCCACCCAGAGCCAGTTGCCCAGGACCATGTCCAGATGGCTTTTGAGTATCTCCAAGGATGGAGACTCCACAACCTCTCCAGGCAATCTGCACCAGTGCTCAGTCACCCTCACAGTGAAAAAGTGTTTCTTGATGTTCAGTGGGAACCTCCTGTGCTTCAGTTTGTGCCCACTGCCTCTTTTCCTGCCACTGAACACCACTGGGAAGAGCCTGGCTCCCTCATCTTTACATCCTCTCTTCAGGTATTTATATACATTGATAAGGTCCCCTCCATCTTGTGGGTATCAAAAGGGTATAAAAAAAAAAGTATCTGTATAGTCATTATCACATATTTGTGCTTCCCACTTTTTTTGAATAAAAGGATTATTTCTTGCTATAAAGTTAAAAGAAAAAAAATATTAAAATTGAAAGCTGTTTTTCAACCTGTACCTAACAGGTAAGATATGTAACTGTCCTATGTACTCACACACACAAGCTTTCAACGTCCCAAAATACTGTAAGAATTTTAAATTTCTTACTATGCCATGTAGCAACCACATACAGAAACCAAAGGAGAAGACTGATCTCTAAATACCTTCCTGTCAGGTTAAAGTCAACCTTAAAATGTTTCACTTTGAAGTCCATGCCTTTGAAATAGTCTGAATGCTGTTATGGCCTGTAGATTTCAGAATACATGACCTAAACAAAAATGTACGAACAATTTGCACTCAGTGTGATGAATGTCCCAATGTACAAACTAAGAGGCAAATTTTGTCGGAGAGTAACTCCAGAATTGTAAAATGGCAATTAGAGAAGTCTGATCATCCTTCCATGAATGAGAATGTAAACCTGTTCTTTATATTAAAATAGTTGAAGGCAATTCAGTCTTGATGACATCTGTATACATAACAGGCTAATAAACTACAAAGAAAAAGAAATGTATCTTACAAGATAACTGAAGAATATGCACTCACCAATTTCACTTTGTAGTTCTTCACCCAGCTGCAGTGTGTTTGGTCCTTTTAATTTGCATTTAATGTGTTTGGGTTCATCAGGAAGTGGTCTAAGTCAGCATATGAAAATTGACTTATAATCATTCTCATAAAGGTAATCACTTATAGTAGCAGGCATTATAAAGCATACAGCAATTATCACTCATCTGTGACCGGATTTTTTATTTTTTATCCTTTTATCTGTATTTAGAGGATCAAGCCTCATGTGCACACAAGTTACACAGTAGCTTTCACCTCAATCTTATCAGGGGGAGCCTATCAGACACTACCACAGCAATGTTATGGGATTTTACCTTATCTGTAATAGCTTGCCTACCAGTATTTTACCATAAATCAGATCATCAGCCAGATAAAGCAGAAGTCAAGTTCGGAGTATTTTAAATCTTGAAAAAAAACCATCCCCAACACCTCTAAGTCAAAGTAACATACAATTGTCTCTATATTAAAATACATCTATTACTGTAAAACCAATTATAATATCAACATTAACCCTGATATGTATATACAAAGGTATCACAATCTCCCTTGCTATAAAAATATTTGCTGACTTCTTAAGGACCTGATTACAACTAACATAGCTTAAAATTTTTAGTGATACAGTTTTTCCTCAAAAAAACCCCAAAACCAGAGCACATTAGAAAAATTATGGAGAAGATGAACAACCATTAAAAAAAGAAAAATCAGATTTCCATTTCCTCTCTTGCTATGATAAAGCAGAACTCACCAGTCTAAACTATGCCTAATGGTAGTCTCTTAAAAATATTTTCTGGGGTGCTTTCAAACAATCTCAGCCTTTCCTTCCCTTTACCTGATGAAGATTAATATATGTTTTGTGCTGGCTCCCCAAATATTTAAGAGCTATGTGACATCTGTAAGTTATTTAAGATTTAAGAGTTATTCAACACAGTATTTTTTACTCCTTTTGTGTGTTCTAAGCTAAAAATTACATTGAGATCTTTAAAAATCCCATTAGAATGACCTCCAGTTAATTTTTATGACAACTACAGTAGAATAACCCCTGTATAGAAGTTCCCTGATTTCAGACTGCTTTTCAATGACAAGCAAAAATGTATTAAAAATATTCAATAAATCAATCCATTGTTCTACTTCCTTTCAAGAAGAGAGGTATCAATTCAGTCTGCTTTTCTGCTCTTCTTAAAACAGAAAATACTACTTAACTGAAAAATTTTCTGTCTCTGACAGCGCTGCATCATTGAAAGCTTTTTACAAGCATTATGCTCCCAAGATTTTAAAGAATCTTAATGCTTGGTTGTGTAATTTTTTTTCTACTGCAGATCTGTGAAATGCCTAATTGCTGCAAATTTCCTCTGGCATCAGTGTGCTGTGAACTAGTTACTTAATTTTAGCCTATTAAGAACACATGAAATACACTAAAGTATTTTAGAATCAGATTCATCTTAACAAACGTTATAAAGATACAGTAAGTAGACCTAACTGCCTAGACTCATTAAGAGTGATAAACAGGCAATTTTAAAGTTCAATTTACAGCCTGTCACTTTTGACTGACATACCAGATGCAGGCATCCAGCATTTGGCTAGATAAATACTATCTTTAGCTTCAAAGTAATAACCTCTGTAAGGGTAACTATTAACTTCATAGTGATATTTCTCTTTGGTAACCAGTGACCTGAGTCTTCAGTAAAACTAGTTATCCTATAAGCTAATGTTTACTGAAAGTTTTCAAAGATAGCAGTAATCTTCTTCGGTGTATATATACTTACAAAAGTGATTATAGGGCTGGATACAAACAGATCATTATGGAGTCCTTCACATAGGTAATGTTCTTGTTTGTAAACAATTTGCATAAAAACTCCCACCCACCCACCCAAACCTACATTCCCCTGTTAATTTGCCAACTGCTTTCATGATTTCACCTTCTGTAGAAAGATTTTTTTACCCCAAAGTACAGACCTACAATCCTTTGCCAACAACATAATTTGTAAAAAAGTATTTCAAATGAACAAACCTGACTGTGAAGGCACTCTCCAAAGACACATGGTCATCAAGATAAGTAATTAGACAGTAACGTACATCTTTTACTGATGTTGGTACTTTTACATCAGGTAATAACCCCTGAATCAACTGTTCTCTGTTAATTCTAGGTGTCCAGTTAACCTAAAATTAAAATTTCTTAAATTAATCAAAAGCTAAATTATTAATGACTAGCTACATAATACCTCTGTGGACATTCTAAATATGCTGAAGTAACATACAGGCAAGAGAAGCTTTCAATGGAAAGCCTGTGCATTTCCCAACAGTAACCAATGCTATCTTCCAAAATACAGAAAATTACTCTAAAAAAAAGCCAAACAAAACAAAACATACATTGTTTCCCTCATTTATCTTGAGTTCGGAAAGATCTGATTCTGAAAAACCTCACCAAAAAAAATTGTCACATATTTGCTGAAGCTCTACCTTTGTATTAGGCTCCATATACGTACACAAACAGAGGGGTAAGATAGGTAAGAAAATCTTCATGAAGGAACATGCCTATTCAAGGTTCCTAAATGCTGGGAAAACCCCAGATTTGAAGAATCATAACTATGTCGGAATTATTTTATTGTGTTTAGGAGAAACACTGGTAATTACTAACCTGCTTTTCATAATACTACCTTGAAGCATTATTTAATATTTCATTAAATGTCTTTATCTCATTCAGGACACAATTTTAATAGAATTATTTTTAAAAATTTATTAAGCAGAGAGTGAAGTTCCCATGTTTAATAATACAGTCTTGAGGAATATTATTTCGTAGTTTGACATTTACGGATTTTAGAGAATCAGCATTGCAACTCTCCCCCACATTATGCTGCTGTTTACTCAGAAGTACTTGCCTTGATTTTTTCTGCCACAGCTGGAGTTATGTGTATCTCTCTTTCTCCTTCATCATACATCTGAAATATAAGGTTGTGCATGACATCGCCAGCGAGCCAATTAATTTCATCCTGATGTTTAATTTGAATAGCTTTTTGTCCGTCCATACTCAAGACCTGTAGTCTTGCAACATGACTGCTAGGAAGAAGTTTAATAATCTTTTCCACTGGTGGCACATCTTTACAGCTCTATACATGGGGGGAAAAAAAGAATATATAATTTAAGATATTAAATATACATATATGCATAAATATCACTCTGTAATAGCCTATGGATCAGCAGGTGTGACCAGGTGTACAAACATGAAAGCAGCTAGACTTGTCAAAAGCAAATCAGAATGATATGCCAGAATACTTACAACTTTTAACAGATACTAGAATTGATGCTAGCTATTTAGAAAACATTTTCTATTCCAAGAGTACTATGTTATAAAACTTACAAAATACTTCTTAAGAAGAGTAATCATAAGTATCCTTTCATATAGGTCATCTTGCCATATTTGTATTTGTTACACATTTTTCAGGGTAAACCACCACAGGTTTTACTTTCTCCAGCCGTGTGGCTCTCCTGACTACCAGAGAACTGGGGTGTTCAACAGCATTTAAAAAATTCAAACTTCAAGAGCTTTAAGACTGAAATGCTACAAAAAGCTACTGATTTTTAACCTTTGAAAAAATATATCCTTCTTCACTAAAGTTTTGGGGAACATGTTGCCATACCTATTCTGGCTCTAAATGTACATGCAATGAAGGGAATTTGTCAGAAGGATCCTGGGAGTAAAAGGGGGAAGAAAAATCCCAGAAATAATGCATATTTCTGAAACACTTCAGGGATTTCAGAAATCCCTGTAAGTAAGTAAGTAAGGGGTGAAGAAAAAAAATGGAAAAAATTCTTTGCCTTTTTATGATTTCCCAGAGAGGAAAAAGGGCAGCCACTTGATTATCAGGCTAATGGTAACTAAAACAGTAAGTTTTGGGGGTTAAGTTGATTCATAAAAGATGAATAGCTAGCAAGACAGTCCAATAAACTGTTTTCGATCTTTTGTTCATCCAAGCATCCCAATCAATACTTACAAGTATTTCAATCCTTGCTTTCAGCATCTGGTCTTTCTTGATATTCTGTACATGTATAACTGGACCAGTTAAAATGTTTGTTCCTGCATTACTGCAGTCCACAGAATACACAGGAAGGTTTGAAGCACCTAAAAACTATTTAAAATGTAAAATTAAACTTCAGACTTCTTTTACAGAACTACTAGGATTATTCCATAAATGATTATCTGTACAAGTCCAAACATATATAGGATTATTTACAGATAAATTTGATAGATTTCAGTTTTCCAGAAGCCTGCAAGATCAACACCTATGTTTTTTCACAGGTGATGTGGGAAAAAGGAAGAAGTTATAGAAGTAAATTTACTAGCTAGTCAACTGTTTTGTATTAACACATAAACACTAGTCTCTTTTGCCATTATGGCAATAAATTCAATTAAGTTGTTAAATAAACCCCCTTTTCATTAATTTTCTAAAAATCACACAGTAAACAGAATTTAAATATGAAGTTCAACATGTCATCACACTAACTGCGGACCCAGTCTACAGGAAGAGAATGTACACATATAAAGTGTAAATGGGATGCAGACTATTTTGAAGTAGGAAAAAATATTTTTATTTGTTTACCTGTTCTTGCTGTAAGACTGATTTCACTAGAATTGGAAAAGTCACTTTCTTGAGGTAAAAAAAACTAGGTCCAAAAGGGAAAAAGTTTTTTACTTCTAAAAGCCACAGTAACACCTGCATTCCCTTCTGAACTTAGATAAGTGCTTATGATAATAGTCTTATCTAATATTATTTTTAGGCAGTAGACTTGCATTTTCATCTTTAAAAAAATCAAAACTAAGCTTTATGAAACTTTTTTCCTGAACAAATTTTAGCATTATATATGGCAAATATGACCTGAAATACCTTAAAATTGTAGCTATATACCATCACATAATTTTGTCTTCCATTTCTAAGGCCAGGTTCCTCTGATTCTGAAACTTACTGAATGACTCATATAGACGAGGCAAGAGAGTCACCGTTATGGCTACCAAGCTACAGAAACTTCAAAAGCATTATTAAAGATAATAAATTCTATCTAGATACCAAAATAGGCTCTTTTCCCAGCCCTTTAAAAAGCAAGTATCAAAATCCTTATGACACATAATACAATGCAGTTTACCTTACAATGAACTATCAGCTTTGGCTGCGCTGTTATATTTCCTGATTCATCCAGTACTTCAACCTGAAAGGGGAAAGCTGTACCATTTTCAATCTTCAGAATTTCAGAATCTGGCTTTACCTTCAATTGACGAGGAGGGCCTGTGAAAATGCAGAATTGCAGAACAGTGGTTATATTTTAGATAACTGGTGAGACACGGGGTTTCAGTTTTTGCTATCTCAAAAAGTTTTTAAAGCCGAACTACCAAGATATGTGTGGTAATAAACCATTTAGACCAATTCAAGTGTATTGGTTTATGCTGAAAAGTTCTAGACACTTCCTGTCCTTCAATACATACCACCTGCCAATCTTTTGAATGAATTCAGTAAGGAATAGTTAGACAAACGTGATGAACTTCAGCATACACAAGGTGTAAACACATGACGCAGTGCTATTTACATACTATATGGATTCACATTCATCAAGAAGAAACTTGGAGCTTTCTCCTGACATGTTAAAACCAAAGATATTAATGTTGAGATATCTGATCAATCACGATGTACAGCAGTTTAATTACCAAAGCCACCACAGCTACAACTTGCAGGCAAAGAAAAGCAAAAGAAAATTTTGCTGGCTTTACTTGGATAGTAAAGTGAAGCTGTTCAAGTAAGTCTACCCCCTGGAACATATAATTATTTTATCAGTTTTAAAGAAGAGACGGAAGTAATAGATTACTATGAAAAGACAAGTTCTGTAGGAACAAAGAAGGCCATTTTTCAGAAATATCCTTTATGCATCATTCATTAAAACTTCCATTTCAAACTCACTGGTTGAAGAACAGGAAAGACTGAAATAGGTTTTATTCACTCCTTCCTCAAAAAAACGCTTTAAAAGCCAAGGATAAATCCAACAAGAAGAAAGAGGTAGTGAAGCATCTCTACATTGCCAAAAGCAAAAGATTCTAATCAAGGGTGAAGTTGCCTTCAGTCCAAGGTAAATAACTAAGCAATACACAATACAATCTGTCTCAAGTCAGATCGTTCCACTCCATTTTCTACACAAAGCCTTAACTCCTCAAAAGATAAAGAATAATGGAATAAACTCTGCGTTGTTAGTCTAACAAAGCTTGAAGTACACAATTTCTCCGCAAAATGAGATGGGAAAGCCTAAAGTTTGGTAATCTGGTAGGCCAAAAAAAAAAAAATCAGCCTTCAAACTATACCTTATCTCCCAAATCCAGAAAAACCCAGGTAGCAAGGAATAACAGGTACCATATAAGGGAATCCTCAGTATCAAGACATCCACAAAACACAAAATTCTGGTAAGGGCAGTGGACTTACAGACTTCTATATTCCTCTCTTGCATTATGATAAAGTCAACATGTAACACTAAAAATTTCAGACACAATCCCAACTGCCAAAGCATCCCCCCCCTTTGCTGAGGTAAGAAAATAAATGAGCACTTATTCATTCACAAGATGTTTTCTAGAGGGAGAACAGGTCAATGCAGATTAGTACAGGTTAAAGGGCTTAATGCTGAAGAAAATCGAGAAGATAAGAAATTCATTCATTCAATGGTGCTAAAGATTTAAAATAATTAAAAAAAGAAGGGAAAAATCAGTCTCAATTAAGAAAACAAATTCCAGCTGCTAGAATAACAGACAAGATTGGGCTGTGAGTTTGATGTTATTCCTGCCAAGAATGACAGGCCCTTAGCTTTATTTAGTTTCAGTCATCACTTGGATGAGCGAGAATATCCTTTTTTAAGCCTCACTAAATATTTTACCTTCTTGGTAGAAGAAGCATTTCATTAATAGTGTCAAAACAAAGATCAACAGAAATTCACTAAACATTTTAAGGATACTTACCAGGCTGCAATCTTATTTTAAAGATTTGTGTGTCTTCTTTCAAACCAGGAAGAGTAACCTTCAGATTAAAGTTCTAATGAAAAGAATATTTTAAATATTAACCTTAAACAAAACCAGATCATAAATTATCTCACATAGTCATGTCAATTAATATATATGTAAATTTCAGAAGTCTATCCAAATTTTCCTGCACTGCTACATAAATCAAGAATTTTTTCCTGTACTAAAATCTGTCTTTTTCATGTTATTCCCAGAGACATTCAATCCAGGATTTGCATGTTAAACTACATGGTTCTGAAACCATTAAAAGTAGCTATCATAACTTGTGTTTGCCTGCTTAGAGGCTGTTTTAGTAGCGGAAAAATATATCAATTAAAAAAAACCTAGTTTCAAAGAAAGGGTCTGCAAGTTCTGTGTTCATTATTCCTCAGCTAATTGCCTGAAGCAAGGCACCACAATTGCTATCCACCTCATCTTTGAATAAGGCCATAAGAAAAAGAACTGCTGTAGAACTGCATCACTAAAACTGATTCTCACATTAAGATCGGAGAATGAAGCAGTCTAATCAACGATTTTAAAAACTCCAACTTTAAAAAACTAGTTGCACTGCAGATATATGAATTTCTTATTTTATATATTTGATATCTGAGAACACTTAGTTGCAGTTCATGAATTGCCATTTTTACACTGTCAGAAATGCTGTCTCTGGAAAGGTTTAGTTTCGTAATCCTGGCTTATGCCCTTCCCATGCCTGACAGGGTATGTGCAACATTAACACCTGGTAGATTGCATGAAAACACTCAATTATTTTGGTTTGCTGGGTAAGAGAAGCAGAAAGTGCAATGAGGCCCGGGCAGGTGCATCACAACTGCAGCCACATCAAACACATGAGCTCCCCAGCTGATGGCTGGCCACAGAGGTGCATGAAAACTCTCCAGCTCTGACCAGCCAGGCAACCATACTGCCTGCCTGCAAGCCAAGCAGCACATATCAGCTGGAGCCCCATTAAACCAAATGGTGAATCAGGAGAAAAGGGGAAGGTGAAATATACTGAAGTTACATGTTGGGGGATGGGACAGGGCGGTGGGGGCGGCGG